AAAAGCTACTTTATGAAGTCATTAGTGGTCCACAAACATTACCTTGTGGGATAGAATATAAAGTTATCAAAATTCGGTATTAAAAATTAAGTTTATTATTGTTTTTTATCCATTTACATATTAATGTTAATGGTCCTCAAACACGACCAGACTAATTTAAGAGGATACTAGTTTTTAGTGTTTAGTAAATATTTATTTTTAAAAATTTTAAAAATTGCTATCGTTATTGTCGGTTTATAGGTGTAAAATAAGCAGAAATGACAACATAAGGGACCAGTTTTGTGAATTTTCGTGCTCTGTCATTAATCATACGATTTTCAAGATGGACGACCTGCGTGTATATTTCTGATATCCGCAGAGGAGTGAATGCCTAATGCCATATAAATAGGATTTTAAGCTCCTTGTGTGTTGCCCGCAATATTTTAAATTTAATTCACAATTTTATACCTACTTACAATCCTATTTTACGAAGTCGTTCCTTGTCCAAATGGTCCTCAAACAGAACCTTGAGGCATATATAACAAAACCAATGGAAATAGAAATTCTTTAAAATCTGAATGAACAACAATAACATTATATACAATAGTATTTTATGTGTCAAGTTTGATTAAAGTCACGAATTTAATTTAGGCACGAGGGAGCTTGCGAGCGAGTGCTTAATTAAATGCATACTATACTTTTTTACGACAAATACTAAATATTGTCTAAAAAATGATTTAAATTAAATATTTGTATAAAGCGACATCTGTACGAAAATAAAGCTGTCAACTAACTTTAAACTAACTTCAGCCCCTGACTAAAAACCTGTTGCCAACTTCAGCCCGTGACTAAAACGCCATGAAGCCACAGCTTGTTAATGTGTATTTATGGGGTACTTAGTGTCATGAAAATATTATAAAATATTCCTATTAGACTCTAAAATTCATAAAAACGAATTAAATTCTTGTCTAATGGGGGATTTTCTCAATACGTTGAACAATGAAAATCAAGTCAAATAAAAAGCGGGCGCGATCCCTAATCCCCTTGATATGGTCCTTATTTCTTATTTATAAAGTGTATGCATGGGCAATTCGAGTGGCTTATCCTGCGGAATTACGGTGCTCGCCTTATGCTTCGCATAGATATCGCGATCCTGCAAGGAAGGATTCCTGCCGCGCAGGAGTTTTATTTGGTTTTTGACACGCTGATTTCTCGAGATTTATTATTGATGGGCTATAATGTAGGGGTTTTTACGGTTCAGAGAATGCCATGAAGGAATAAAAGGATTATAAAGGATATTATGTATGAAATGTCCTTAAAATCCTTTTCAAATTTTTTATTAAAAGAATTAATACTACAGAAAATAAGCTGTATCAGCTGTATGTATAAAATTTATATTTTTTTCTTTATGGATATATTTAATTGTAAAGAGGTCAAATTTGGGAGATTTCGGATGCCAAAATGTTAAACTGTCCGATTTTATAATTTTTTCAAAAATACCATTATCGGTTTTAAAAAAATATATATGTAATCAATATTACCATTACTTTAAATTTTGTTAAAGTAAAACGTACAAGATAAGACATATACATAAAGTTTTATAAACACAAAAAATTAACCAAATAGTTTAACTAAACTTGCAGGTTAATTTATTTTGGTTATATAACCCATAAGTAAATTTACTTATGCTTTAAAGCATCCTGAAATCGCCATATAATTAGTTTTATTCCAAAACAAAAGGTGATTTAACTAACCCAATAATAAAACATAATATTATTTTATGTTTAAAACTATTTTAAATCTATTTCAAACGAACGTAGAAATAAAAATTTTATTTTCTTTATTTCTTATTTTTTTAAAGCGCATTTAAAATATAAAACTATTATGTACTATATATATTCTATTCTATATATATTCTACAAAAGTTGGGCAACTTTTGACCTCATTTTATTTATATAGTTTTCGGAGAAAATTAAACAGTATTTTGTTATGAGAACATGGATATAATATAATAAATATACTGTTCCAGACCGGGCCAGTCACTTTTTCAAAGAGTTTCTGAAATATCTGTGTTTTCTAAATTTGAATGCAACGGAAGTGACGAGTATACCAGGGTACTAACTAAATACATAATTTATTGGAAAATATAAGATTTATTGCATCTTTGAGCATATTAAACGTTAAATATCTTAAAATCAAATAATATATTATGGTATACCACACATCAGTGGCGGCTGGTGGATTTTGGTATACCGATATCTCAATTATTAAATATGGGACCCACACCAAATTTATATGAGTTTGTGACATTAAATAAACAAGTTCTGCGCGAGCAGAATTTAAATTGAAGTTTGCGAAAAAAAGATAACCGAAACATCGAACATGGAACTGTCGACACGGTACTGATGAATGGGATACAAATTTGAGATTATAATTCGAAATTAAGTATTTTACTGATATTTTTTATTAGTGGATGCTACTTATCAACAAATTACATATAGCCTTATATAAATTACAATAAAATATATATACGTAAGAAAATAACTACTCACCACAGTATTGAAATTTTGACTGGAACTATACGTGAATTCACCACAACTTCGCCGCTTGCATTGTTTTCAAGATGACTTTCGTGCAAAGGGCGGGCTCTGTAGGTAATTTTTTACCAACACTTGAGTAAAAACGAGGACTTGACGTTTAAACTTCAATATTTCGCAGGATTTTAAATTTTAACATTGGACACAGAACTGACGGGTAAAAGTGAGTACAAAGATTATCATTTTTTTTTAAATTGCTATTATTCGAATCTATGATAAAATATGAAAAAAACATTATTTAACCAATAAAATAACTAAATTTTATATAATATGCACTTATCAAATAAAATGCACCCTGTATATGCTAAAATAATAATCAAAATTAAAATGTCATAATATCGTTAGTATATAAAAAAAATTATTAAAACATAATTAACAAAAACTTTTTTTGGTCGTAAGACATCAACTTTATCATCACGGACAAATAAGGTAAATAAATAAACAAGAAGTCTTACAACATGACGTTCTAAAAATATCCACTTTATGCTTACTAAGACATATCAGGGGTGTTTTGCCCCCAAAAATATTGAGAGGATTTTCACCCTCGCCTACAGTCGCTCTCGTAACTACTGATTAGAATTGAGAGGGTCGATTTTGGGCAAAAATAGTCTGGTTCAATGTATCGCCTAAACTAGTAACCTACTGACCAAGAATTTGATTTTGTATCTCAATTTTTAAATCTCAGTTTTTGGGAATTTGTTAAAATTTGTTTTGCATAGTATTTTACATTATATTTTTACATTTTGAAACTCGTAGTTTATGATTAATAATCTAAAAAAGTCATGACAAAGTAAAATTAAATGTACAAATGATAATTATATGGATATAACGTGTAAATTAGCCTGGAGGGAATTCTTATTTTTTACAAATTTAAATTAATCATATTTTAATTATTTGCTTTTATATTTTCATTTAATTAAGTATCAAGATAATTTTATAATTATAACTGAGTTAATAAGTATTAAAATGTTAAAGAGTGGAATGTTTTTTAATGATTTATAGTTTGAGTAAGTGTTTTTAAATTATAGATTTTAGGTAACTTAAAATCATACAATGAAATACCAAATGAAATCTACAGCTCGATTTTAATTCTAAAATATCATCGATTACAATCATACCCCTTGTAAACATTTAAAAAATATTTGTTAATTTTAATTAAATTTTAACCAGATTTTATGTTAATCCATGTTCACATAACTTTATGTTAAGTTTACAACCAATTGTAATCTGTTAACTAACTGAAAAAATAGTTTTATATATAACAGACTTTTTTATATTTACTAACATAATTCTATGTTAATAATTTAACCGTAATTCTTGTAATTTTCAAATAGAACCTTATTTTTACAAACCTTTTTGTAGACTACAACTACATGTTAACAAATCTGATTTTTATAACCTAGGTAATATTTATTATGGGCGAACATACCTATATTTTATAAAAAATTTTCATGACAATTTTACCAAATGAGCAAGTGGCAGTTAAGTAGCAATTTTAATAATAAAGGAAAAAAAATGTAATTCTAATGACCTAAAAATAAATGTGATGTTGCTATTACAATATTTTTTCTTTGAAGGTGTCATTTACATTTAAGTTAACTAACATTATTTTTTTTCTTTATTATTAAAAATGTTACCTACATGCCCTTTCAATTGTACTTTTTATATAATTTGTTAAGGGTAAATTTTGAAATAAAAATATTTTTTTTAAATTTTCTGCTTGTTTGTATGGTTTTGATAAGATTAAGCATTTACCGCGATATTTCGCGAAATTAAAGTAATTTTAATTTTTAGTGAAACGTAATTAAAATTCCGTAGCTAGCTAGTCTGCAATATTTCAAGACAGTGGAAAAAATAAAAGCAGCAAAGTAAAGCGCGGGTAGCAGGTAAAATATGCTACGTCTTATCATTGAGCCCGGCAAAGATATTAGATGTTAGACACTTTAAGTAAAATTATGCAAATGATGTAAGAAGAGGTGGGAGCCGGGTCGAAATTAAATTTTGATTCGACTAATGGTGGAAAGAGTGGAAAAAGGAGAAGAAAATCATTGGCAAACCACATAGCAATAGCTGCAGCCGCGGTAGGTATCTGCTATCCATCTTTGGTGTGGCGCGGTGCTAAAGTGGGAGCAATTTGAGAAAAACAAAAGAGCGCATTGATTCGGAATATGAAAAAATAAAGAGTGGAAGTAGAAAAAAACAAAAGAAGCCCGCACACCTCGTATTGATTGCGCAGCGACAGCCCGGTGACATTCTTTATCAATACGTCACAGCTCATATTTCAAGTTTCTGCAAACGCCCTCACTGTTACAAAGAAACTAACTTCTTTCGGTAGCCGGGAGGGCGTGGCCAGAAAGCCGGCGGCTGGTGGGGCGGCCAATGTCGGCGCGGGACGCCGAAGCGCCGACCAATCGGGCGAGGGGAGTGCGTGTCTCGATGCGGCACGCCTTCGAGCACTTGCAGCCGTTTTTCCAAATGTTTTTATTTATTACATCTGTAACAGTAGAGTGTACTGGTTGTGTCTGCTTCCTTCAGGTCGGCACACACACACACACACACACAGACGGCACAGAGTGAGTGAGTGAGTGAGAGTGTACAGCCCGGTTGCGCGCATTCGGGGCCCCGCCTAGTACATACAGACAGACAAACAATACGACACCGTCACTATTACGAAACACCTCGGACTGTATGCCTGTGAACATTTCAGTTGTTGTGTTTCTAATTGCTGCTGCTGCAACTGCAACCAAATGAACCCTAGTGCTCACGCATCATCAACCATATAAGTTGATAATAAGTTGATCTCATCATCAATCGCGTAATATAGTGTTTTCGAATAGTATAGTTTCGCGTCGCGCTATGATGGACGGCACAGGCCTGGACTCCGCCAGCGAGCACAGCAGTCACGCTTCGTCAGGCTCATCGCCAGCCGTTGCCATCAAACCGTCTCCTTCGCCGCCGACCAACAACAACCACTCGTCGAACAACCACAACCACAGCCCGCGGCAAGCGTCCCCGCTGGGCCCGCCGATGTCCATGGCCCACGCTCTCAGCCCGCCACCGGTCTCGTCGGCCTCGCTGGCGAGAAGCATGGCTCTCGGCCACCTGCCGCCTCCGGGCTTGGGTCTGCTCAACTCCCTCGGAGTGCTGCACCACAGTCCGTTGGACCTGATGGCCCACCACGGCCCGCCGAGATCGTACAACAGCCCGCCGCCCATCTCCACCTCCGATCCCACGGCGAACGAGTGCAAGTTAGTCGACTACCGCGGTCAGAAGGTCGCCGCCTTCATAATCGCCGGCGACACGATGCTGTGCCTGCCCCAGGCGTTCGAACTCTTCCTGAAACACCTGGTCGGCGGGCTGCACACAGTGTACACCAAACTGAAACGCTTGGACATTGTGCCGCTCGTCTGCAACGTCGAGCAGGTCAGAATCCTGCGAGGTCTCGGAGCCATCCAGCCCGGAGTCAACCGATGCAAGCTGCTCAGCTGCAAGGACTTCGACACCCTCTACAGGGACTGCACCACGGCCAGGTACGTTTCCTATTTAATTAACTCGGGCAATCGGAAAAACACAGCTCGAGGCTTTAATCAAACACGTGTCTGTCTATTCCAAATGGAATTCCTGCTATTCTAATATTGAATCAACAATTGATATCTCCCCCTGCGATGTACGAAAAGTGCTTTGCAGTCATCCCCTTGTTTTGCCCTGTAATTATTTCGATTCTTAATAAAAGGGGATGCAATGCAACTAGCTAGCTTTTAACAGAAATGTCTCTGAAAACGAACATTCCGCATGTATATGCATGATCCACTTGGTCGTCCTTCAAGATGCAAATCTCGCGACTCACTTCATTTAAAATTCAAGAAATTCATGATTCTGAATATGATTCTCGTATTATCAAAAGGGTTGCCCGTATAACAAACTAAACGAATCGATTTTAAGGCAAAGCTAATATTTACAAAATTCCATTATACCCCAACAATAGCTGTGATATTTGTATTATAAATAATCGGTAGCATGAACACTGAGGCCTAAAACACGTCCCTGCGGGATACCTTAAGATTCTCGGATAGCCGCTGCAGCGGCTTTGTTAATTCCTTCTCGATAATAGGTTCTGTCAGTTCCTTTTTCAAACCATACAAACCGTTCCGATGTAATTTATTGATTTTTAGGCGCCAACTCTCGATACAATGATTCTAATTCTAATTATCATTCTCATTTATTTTTTCGAAAACGAACGAAAAAAACATAATTAACTTTTCTATGGTATACCTAGTAGTAGTAGTATCATTTTTATTATTTGTGTAAGTGCGGATATAAATCATTGAGGGACAGTAAAACATGTAAAGAAAATTGACTTGTCGCTTTTAACTACCTTCCTAGTGGAGTGGAGATTTTTTGCAACATAGTATGGAAACATATTAACAAATATATTCAAAGATTTACGCAAGCCGTAAATCATGTTTAAATAAATATTGTTGACAGTTACGCCTCGGCTATTAAAACTTGGGTAGTCCTACAGCTTGTTTTAAGAAAATCACTGAGTGAATTTATAGCTCGGAGAGGTCATCATTGACAGTAGGGAACACAAAGACTTTTTACTGCCTCGAGAATCGTATATTATGATTGTTTGTTTTTAAATTGTTCGACGTTTATCTCTTCGCTTATTTTTACAATGTAGGGTTAATTGAAAATCCGTATGGTTATTAATTGAAAGGCCGCTAAGAATGTGTAATTAAAATGTTGCCGATTTATTGAATTGATAAAGCATATTTATCGACTATTTATAGATAATAAAAGCGATTAAAATCGATAAGTAATTCTGTTTGAATGATGGTTTTGCTCCGGTAGATCGTGTACTCAGAACGCATAAAAAGACTAAGAGCAAGAAGCAGCCTGGCTAGTCGACGAAGAGAATAAAAGAGCTATAGAGAGAGGCATGCAATTAATTTTAGATACATACCTCCTCCCCATACACACAATGTTAATCTGCATAGCAGAAGAAGTAGTTTAATAAGGGCCTAGGCCGAGCACATAGCAAGCAATCTCCACCACAATAACGTGCATTAACGTTGCCAACAAAAATATAATAAGTTGCGTACAAACTCTGATTGCTTTTACGAAAATAAATGAAATATTTAACAACTCTTTACACACTCTAAACCTTTTTTTATTTCCCCAGACAAGCCATCTCTTCTTGCATTTTTCATTGCCGTTTTATTATAGTTAAATTAACTTGTTCACACAAATTCCCTGCGAAACGAGACCCGACAAGAGATTTATCTCTTTTTCGAATCCACAGGTTGTACAATTCTATTCCCACTGCAACAGCACAGTCTGTCTGTGATTCCATCGGGAATCCCCCTTCTATTTGTTTCTCTGTCTGTTCAATGACTACGTTTTTCTCTCTCCAAATACGATTTTCATCCTGCAGTTGAATGAAACCGGCGTTTCCCACATTTATACGCCACTTTCTTTCACGTTTTCCTCTGAATTTACCTCTTCTCCTCCTTTTATACTTCAAGTTTATGTAAACACCAGTAAGATGTATTATTATCATTCTTGGATTATGGTGGGTATTTGCTTTTCGATTTTTCATCCAAATTAACATGTCAACAATCCTTTTATACTCCAAGTTTATGTAAACAGCAGTAAGATGTATTATTATCATTCTTGGATTTTGGTGGGTATTTGCTTTTCGATTTTTCATCCAAATTGCATTTCCAGCATTTTTAGCATTTGCTTAGAACATTTTTTTAATTAATTCTATGTTTTAGAACCTTTTTATTTCATAATTCATATTTGTTCCCTCTAAATATTCATTATTCAATAAATCGTATATATACTTATCACCTCTGCACAAACGGCAGCGAGATGTCTCAAACTAAAATCTTTCATATTTGATAAAACGATAAACTTTGCATCTTAAAATCACTCAAACACCCAGTATAAATGATGATGATGCAAAAATTAAAGTCAGTTACCTTCACTATAGCTCGTTCCATTATACCAATGTAGCGCCTTGTAATTAAAACTTCGAACTGTCAATCTCTTATCTCGCGTTATTTGGAACATGTGAGTACGTTTTTTTTATATTTATAAGTAATGTCATTCACAATATGAAATATAAAGGTAATTTTTCTGGTACATGAGATCTTTGCAATGAAGTCAATTCCACAATTAGGATTTACCTAAGTTATTTATTGTGTACCTATTAAGTGTTTACATTTTCACACAACATTTGATTGTTCTTTATTATTATATTAAATCAATTGTGTGGGAATACTAAGAGAATAAGAAATGTATGTATACTCTTTTGTGTTAAAAAGTAATAGTTGTAACAAGGCAGATTTTTCTTCATATGGAAGCAATTACCAATTCCTGCTAATTGCTTGTGTGTATAGGCTCGGTTTTGATTTAATTGTGGCGCAAAAGGGAACTTAATTATCGAAATATAAATAGTCAATGACACTGGCAGCAGGTCTACAACAACGCACAGCAAGCAATTAATTGCATGCGCCCATATAATATGGTAAACATAGCCTGCTGGTGCATTCGAGAGGTCAGTGTTTAGATTTTAGCCCGAAAGGGGGGAAAAGCTCGGACCACAAAACCGCTCTTCTAGTTGACAGAAAACCGCAACGCATATCTCACTTAACCGTGCGCTCGGGCGCGCTGCGATTTATTTAATTGATATTGCCCATTTGCTCCTCTTACTTTAACCAGCTGCTATTAATTTCAATCTAATTTTCTAATAGAACGGTATTCAACCGCCAAATGTGGTTTGAAAACCAAATTTTTGAAGAGAATCCAAAAAAATGTCACTTTGATATAATGAAACGCTTTAGATCATATTGGCTGTGCGTTCGTGGCGTAAGGAATGGGTGGCTGTGAATAAGTAAGAGATATATAGAAATACCAGTGACCACTCGTTTTATGGTAAATCAAGGTGGCTAAATCCGTTTTTAACAAAATTTATGACCTAAACGGCGTTATATTGTTTGAATTTTTTAAATATAAAGGTTGTAGACATAAATTATGAATAATTAAGTTATATCGGACAATAAAAACAAAACCAACAAAATACCTAATTACTCGGACGTTTCCGTCATTATAAATTTATTTCTATGTCTGTAATTTCAATGAATATGAATATCTCATAATAACGGCTTAGAGTTACAGGAAATAAATCAAATTCGATAGGTTTATCATAAATAATTGCATTTATTCATAGTTAATAAAATGTAATAATGTTTTTTGCAATGTTTAGCTATTAATAACAAGAAATTGCAGATATATTTATTTTTCATAATTATATAGTTTTAAGTTGTATTATTAATTATAATTTGGGTAATAAAAATCATGAGAATTTCAACAAATTACATAGTTTTTAATGTTTCAAAGAAGATCAGTTTCTTTATTCTTTCAATGTAGTATACAAAATATCTTACTTTTAGAATGTCACTTTTTGTACCTTTAACATTTCCCGTGTAAGAATTTTTTTTACTTTATATAATATAATAATATTTTGCAATTATATATATATATATATATATATATATATATATATATATATATATATATATATATCCCCACCCAAAATTTTGATTTTATAGGTTGGCTATACTTTAAACAGCATAATATTTTGCATATTGGTTATAATATTTTTATGATTTTTCTAGTACTAACGAGACTTTTCTGGCAATAAATTTTCCAAAGAAAATCCTTTTTTTCTTCTTTAACATTAATAGCCGCTTATTGTAAATAAGTAAATTAAGGACAGCATGGCGAATCGATTTTGACATTAACTGTCAAACCAATGACTGTGATACCAACTATTTAAAGTAAAATTCGACCAAATTAAATTTAAGGTATAAAATTATTTTTTTTTATAGAATTTTTGCAAAATAGATAAAATAGCATGTCATAATGTCATTTTGTCGGACAATTTATAAAACGAGCGACGAAGTACGTCTTATGACATTAGTTCTTTAATAAACTATTCTTAACATAATATTTTAAAGTTATTTTAATATTTTAAAGTATTAATAATTGTTAAGTTTAATTAAAATAATAACGGGAAATGTTAAATTTAAGGTATAAAATTATTTTTTTTTATAGAATTTTTGCAAAATAGATAAAATAGCATGTCATAATGTCATTTTGTCGGACAATTTATAAAACGAGCGACGAAGTACGTCTTATGACATTAGTTCTTTAATAAACTATTCTTAACATAATATTTTAAAGTTATTTTAATATTTTAAAGTATTAATAATTGTTAAGTTTAATTAAAATAATAACGGGAAATGTTAATGGTAAAATTTTTTTATTGGGATGGTTACTTTATTTTCTTATATATGTCGCTTTACACATATATTTAATTTAAATAATTTTTTAGATGAAAGGTACGAGAAAAATGTAGCGTTGATTATTTCCCTCAATATAATATGAACCAATCAAAAGCCTAGAATTTTCGAATAAATTTCGTTTAAATAAGCGATTAAATAAATCACTAGAACTTTTTAAC